AGGGGCCGTTTGGTTCATGGGAAAGGAGGCATAGGAATGGGAATTCAATTGCTTTCCCATGTTTGGTAAGTCCGGGAATGGGAAACGGATTCCTGGCACATGGGAAAGTAGGGGGGAAAGTGATGCCCCCCTCTTAACTTGGGTTTTGTTTTCCCTCCTCATGGGAAAGTTTGGGAAAATGAGCCAACATTCAATGCACAATTTTCATGACTATTTTGTCCCTATGAACAATTTATAATTACAACGTATCATTAAATGCATTCTTTTTTTATTTGATTTAATATGGATATAATTGGAAAATTATACAAACTTTGTTTTCCATTCCTACTCAAAACAAACATGGGAAAGGAAACAAAGTGAAATCTCCCGATTACTTTCCCAACATTACCAAACGTGGGAAAGGAATCTTTCATTCCCATTCCTTGGGAAATGACATGGGAATTGATTTCCCCTCAAATCCATTCCGTGAACCAAACGGGGCCTTAATGACAAAGACTTTCATGAAACGGGAATAACACTATTTTATTATTATAACAACATAATATACACGATAATACTTTTACGTGGCATAATATTATTGTCCTAGAATAACAAAACATTGTTATTCCCTAAAAAAAAGGATTTATAATTTTTCTGTTTTCATCGGTGTCGCTGTCTCTGTCTCTTCATTGGAATTCGGAAGTCCTGAAATGAATTGTTCAACAATTCCCACTTCATTGAATACTTGACCAAGCTCTACTTTACCTTGTATTCTACTTTTATCAAGCTCCAAAAGTCTGATCCTTTCTCCTTTAAACCCCGTCCAAACTGAAATCCCAAATTCCCTTCTTTATCACATGCTCTGCATTAAATTTCTTCAAATCCTTATCTGGGCTCTCTCTCTCTCTCCCTTTTCCTTAAATTAGCAACTTCTAGTTCAGCTGTTATATAATTTCTGATCCAAAATTCTTTTGCTTTCTCATCGTCTGAAATTTATTATATTTCAGGATTATCTTCATAAGTTCCCATTTACATTTTGGTCTTTTCCATTCATAGGAATATTCAACTTATGTTCTACTTCTGAGTTTCTGATCCAAACCCTTTTGCTCTTATCCCTGCAATTTCAGCATAGTTGTATTTGGGCAATAACAACAAATGGGTAAGTGTCTAAGCAAAAGCAAAGATTCAGAGCCACAATATAACGGTTACAGATCAGGAGGGGGGGCTGGGGCACACTACCAGAAACCCCAAGAACCTGTTGCTCACCAACCCAAGCCCTCTGCTCAGCAAGCCCACCACCAGTTACCTGAAAAACGTGGGTTGGCAGCAGCCCATCAAGAACCCCAACCAGCATGGAAGCCATCTGTTCCAGTCAAGAGCCCCAAACCAGTTCACAGGCCAGACACAATTCTCGGCAAACCATATGAGGATGTTAAGCAGCACTACACTATTGGTAAAGAATTGGGTAGAGGTCAATTTGGTGTGACTTATCTTTGCACTGAGAATTCAACTGGCAATAAATATGCTTGCAAGTCAATCTCAAAGAGGAAGCTTGTCACCAAGAATGACAAGGAGGATATTAAGCGAGAGATTCAGATTATGCAGCATTTGAGTGGGCAGGCCAACATTGTGGAATTCAAGGGTTGTTATGAGGACAAGCAATCTGTGCATGTTTGTATGGAGCTATGTGCAGGTGGTGAACTTTTTGATAGAATCATTGCCAAAGGTCATTATAGTGAAAGAGCAGCTTCTTCAATATGCAGGGCAATTGTTAATGTTGTAAACATCTGTCATTTTATGGGCGTGATGCATAGGGACCTCAAGCCGGAGAATTTCTTGCTGTCTAGCAAGGATGAGAATGCACTTCTGAAGGCTACAGATTTTGGGTTATCAGTTTTCATTGAAGAAGGTAAATTTGGCTACTTTCTTTCTTTTGGTCATTTGTGGTTTTCTGTTTTGTTTTTTTAAAGATAATTGGATAGTTGCTTTACTTGCTTGAAAGTTTACTACTTTTCACAAGGACATTAAAGTGGAAGGCACTCTATATTGATTTATATCACAGCAATGATAGTTTTTAGGTGAATAATGCAGAATAGTCTTCGATCAAAACTTTTTTTTTTTTTCATCTACAATTCGGTTGCATTCTAAATGATGTTTCTAATAATTTAATACTAAACTCGTGCCCAAAGTCAATTCAGAACATAGTTGGATTTCATAGGATATTAAGTATATCTGGCAGAAGATTAAACCATGTTGTTTTAAAAAGTAATGATGGTAACCAGGGCATGTTTAGCTGGCAATTGAGATGGTAGATAGGCACTTTATCAAAACTTTCTTCTAAATATTGAGTTTATTAGCTTTAACAATGGCAGATAAAACAGAGCTTTTGTTCAGAAGGCAGACTGGAATTGACTTTCATCAATTTAGAAATCACTGCTTTGAATTTATATTATTGTGCCAGGTTTAAAACATGATACACAGTGCACCAAACATGTTTCTACTGCCATTTTTCCATATTGGCTTCCATTCTTTTCTTGGAAGTGAGATGAGAGTTCAAAAGAAGTGTCATGGAACATACGAAGTAAATGGAGAAGGGGGGAAGAGATGAGTCTTCAATTAAGGACATGTCTGCAGTCGTAATTCTGTAGCTTGATCTTTGAACAATAATCTGAGCCATATTGTGTTTCTGTATGGAGTCCGGACCTGTAGTTTTCCTGCATTTAAGTTAACATGAATTTGTTTAACACTGTTATTGGAATTTATATTTTAACAGTTTTGTTCAACTGAGTACTTTTGGAACTAGCCAAATTTTATAATCTGGTTAGCAGACCTTCCTACAATATTCTGTAGTGTCATGGAATTCGTAGTTATCCCTTACGATGGCATCATGGAAACATATTGTGATACTCTTAAGGTCTAGATTGTTTTCTTAATGAGAAACTCAACTCCTATAGTCATTTTGGTATCACTTCTTTTGTCTTTTAAAACTAGCAAGGTGTGGATTCTGTATTTTCTTTGTCATTACTGCAGATATATGTAGTAGCCTTTTAGTGAACATTTGTCTTTATTCTGTTTCATATGCATCCACTTGTAGCATAGCTATTCATATATCTTTCCATGGTAATCTCTTGTCAGGGAAGGTGTATCGTGATATAGTTGGGAGTGCTTACTATGTTGCTCCTGAAGTACTTAAACGCAGATATGGCAAGGAAATAGATATTTGGAGCGCTGGAGTTATATTGTATATTTTACTGAGTGGAGTGCCTCCATTTTGGGCTGGTAAAAGAACACTTCTATACTTGTTTTGTTTAACTTTGTAAGATTTGGTACTACTTACGGGTTCTGTATCTTTCATGTTGGTTTGATCAATAGCTTTTAATGACTGATACAGAAACGGAGAAGGGGATATTTGATGCCATATTGGAGGGAGAGATTGACTTTGCAAGTCCACCTTGGCCATCTATATCAAGCAGTGCCAAGGACCTGGTCCGGAAGATGCTTACACAGGACCCCAAAAAACGAATTACTTCAGCTCAGGTTTTAGGTACAAATCTCTTAAGCCACAATTGTGCCCAAGTAATGTAAAGAAATTTTTTTTTTTTCCACAATGGTTTTGAATCTCTTAGTATGGCTTTAAACAATCGCATTCTGTTTTTACTTATCCCTTCACTTGTGCGTGATTATAAGTAATCAAAGATAAGTTCCTTCTTTAAGTGAGGTTTCATAATCAAAATATGGAACTAGCTAGGTGCTGTATCCACAAATTATCCAAGAGAAGCTATGAGTATTGCAGTCTTTTGTTTTTGGTTTTGGTTTTGGATGAAGACAATGTAGTTACCCTAGAAAGCAAGATTATGACAACATATGCACGCATTTCACATATGACACATATTAGTGCCTTGCTTAAAAAATTACACCGTATTTCAAATTTAATACGTATCTTTGACATTTCTTTGTGAAAAGATAAATTAACTTTATTTTTCTTCCGGTCAACAAAAAATCTGGATTTTCAAGAAGTAAAAAGCTGTATTGAGTATGGTAATGACCAGGACTCATTTCTAATAATAGGCTTATATTGATAGCAGAGTCATCTTTTCAAAAGTACAGTTCCTTTATTCCTGTAACTACTATTCATGGTAGATTGTCGTTCTTGCAAAATCCTTTTCCTTTTCTTTAATACTTTACTTGGATTATGTGTGGTAGATTTCTCATCTAACTGAAACTTCTGAATTTGGATGGCCAACTTAGAGCATCCATGGATCAAAGGTGGAGAAGCGTCAGACAAACCCATAGACAGTGCAGTGCTTTCTAGGATGAAGCAGTTCAGAGCAATGAACAAATTGAAAAAACTTGCATTGAAGGTATATTTATCCAGAGGTCTCTCACATGGAGTACTTTCATTTTTTAATCTGCGAAGCATTATATAAGGGTGTGAGTCGCTACAGAAGTACATACATTGGATCTGGTTGTGCTTCCCTTCTAATACAGTATACAATTTATGAATATGATTATAGGTTATTGCCGAAAATCTTTCTGAAGAAGAAATCCATGGGCTGAAGGCAATGTTTACAAACATGGATACTGACAACAGTGGAACCATCACTTACGAGGAACTGAAGTCAGGATTGGCTCGACTTGGCTCTAAGCTTACAGAGGCTGAAGTCAAGCAGCTAATGGAAGCTGTAAGTTATTGACTTCTTCTTCAAAACACCCAACTTTTTGTTACCTTTTTGCATCCTACCCAACTCATTCAGCTTTTTTGCGTTTCAGGCGGATGTAGATGGGAGTGGAGCAATTGACTACATTGAATTCATCACTGCTACAATGCATAGACACAGACTAGAAAGGGACGAGCATCTTTTCAAAGCCTTTCAATATTTTGACAAGGATAATAGTGGGTAAGTTTTTTCTTTTTAATCTCTAAGAATTGGCCGCACATTCTTGGACGCTCATTTTTTATACATGATTACCAATTGATATGAGTCTTGGGATTTTAACTTTTCTGTTGAGTATAAGAGAAACATGCATCTGGAATTAGTTTGGCGCAGAAGCACATTAAGATATTTCGTCTAGAGAGGCAAGTTGATTTGGATCTTAGTTTCACAAATATAGACCAGGGTGCTAGCAGAATGAGCGAGCACCAAGAAACTGGATGGGATTAGGCTTATGAGGCATTTGGCTAACCATTAATGATTATTAACTAGCCAATGCTTTGTTCTTTATTACAGTTTTATCACAAGAGACGAGCTAGAATCAGCAATGAAAGAGTACGGAATGGGTGATGACGAGACAATTAGGGAAATAATATCTGAAGTTGATACAGACAACGTAAGTTGACCTCCTTACAAATCATTCATTTTCTCCGTTATCATGCATTAGTATTCAATTATGTTGGGCTTACAGGATGGTAGGATCAACTACGAGGAGTTCTCCACGATGATGAGAAGTGGAACGCAACCGCAGGCCAAGCTATTCTAGTGTTTATGATTCCATTCTCCGACTGCTGCAAACCATAAGTTCCACTCTTAGAAATATATGTGTAAATTGAGGGGGACTTTGAACCATATGAGTGGGTAATACTTGCTTCCAATTGCTTTCCAGCAGTCCTTGATAGTTGCCAATGAAGCCTTTACTTGAATTGGTTTTGAGTTACAAGCGCATAGAGCCACCATCTTTATTTATTTTGTATTCATCTTTGTTTCGTTGACTTTATTTTAGTATGTTGATATTTCGAGGAATCAATGAAGAGAAAGCTATTTAGTTTTAGCTTGCATGGATGGGTCTGTGCCTAACTGCTGCGTGCATCTTTTCACATATCTTATAACACTTGGTTACAACTGAAGGTTTCGTTTTTCTCTCTCTTTTGAGAAAACTGGGAGACGAATTCGAACTAGGACATTTTTCAACATCGAGAAGAGAAATACTATAAAATGAATATCTAGTTTATAGAAATGAATAGATGATCCTACTACTTTTGGATAAGCCTTGATTGGGAAGAATTTGTCACATCGAATTCTAGTGAACTACTACGTTGTTCCTCAACCCAAGTTCTCCAAACACAAACAAACATTTGATTGATGACCAAAACCAACTGGGCAGATGAAAAATGAAGTCCCATAACATTCAACAGAAATCACCATCAACAACAAAAGAGAAAGCAAAAAAAGACCAAGCACAGAATTACTCCAACAAGGAGAGAAGTCTATAAATTCCACATGTATATAGACACATCTTCTGTTATTACAGATTTCCCAGAGCCAGTGCAGGGACTATTAGGAGAGCTAGCACATAAAACAAGGGTAGCAAAACTAATCAAATTTTAAGCCCCCTCCCTCCAATTTCCAAACCCCAAGTCTTCAAAAACCATGCATCTTTATCTGCTCCTTCTTCACAATCTTGGCCTGAACAAGAAACTGAAGCACGTTCTTGCGTTGATCACCTTGGAGCTGAATTATCTTGCCAAGCTCTTTGTCCTGGACAACATTGCCGTTGCAGCAGAACTCTTTTTTCAGATCCTTGAGGATCTTCTCGTAGCTGAAGTCTTTCTTCAGCCCTTGAACTGTTGTCAGGCACTTCTTTCCATTTCTCTGCTGCACCCGGATATGCACATACTCCTTGGCTCCGGGGGCATCCGCGTCTTTGGCTTCGGCAAACGGGTCAAAAGCAGTTGGGATCTGGACGTCTAGTTCAACCATATATGTACTTTTGTTTGGATTAAAAATCTAAACGAATTGAGCTGCAAAACACACCGTAAAGAACAAATTTATTGTTAGTCCTCCTTTCAATGTCAACGACCATGTAATCAATCAATAATGATTCCCTCCATTCCAACTACTTGAGAATCATGTAACATCACAAACTCAAGAAATTTTTGAATTTGATTATGAAGGTGTATACAACATCTATCTGTCTCATAATAACAGATCACGTGACAGACTCTGAGCTCGATCTGTTGCTCAGAGTGACGCGTTGCAGCTACATGTATGATGTGTAAGAACTTTTATCAAAAAGAAAAATTGTACGTGGGTTTTGTTCAAATCTTAGAAGAAACACATAATAAAAATGATTGGAAACATGCAACATGATGCATGTATTGAATTTGTATCCAAGTCCAGATGAATTGGTGCATGCAATCAAACATCTTGTAGACAGAAGCATCACATAAAAGAAGGAGATCAAACACAGCCGAACGATATCATCATATGATATGTAGCAGAAAGCAGGAAATAATTGATCGTACCAGAAGAATGAAAGTTGAAAAGGGTAAGGCGTTGTTGGGGAACCTTACCCGAAAAGACAAGCAGCTTTGGAGACGAGGATGGAAACTAGAGAGCCTTCGGGTCCTTCTATATAGGCGTGGAGGGCTGTTGGCGGTATCGCCTCAACCACAGATTCAACAAACCATGGTTAAGCTAAGCTGGAGTTCGATTGGATTAGGATTAGGACAACGTAATTATACACGTGTACGGTTGAAATGGAGTGTCTGGGACTGGGCAGGGTAGAGATCATGCAGACGGTGTATTATTATGTGGGGTTAAAAAGATTAAAGCTTTTTTAGAAAAATAGTGTTTAATTGATGGAGGGAACGCGTAGATTGAACGCACCCACCCATCCCCATACTGGCAATTCCATGCCAAAAAGAAAGAGTGAAATTCGGTGGATGCAGAGCAAAGAGTGTGGAACCCACCAAGAAGAATCCAGAATATGGAACATTATAGAAAGAAGAGGAACACGGTCCATCCATCCAATTGGCATATTGAGGTACGTAAGAATTTGGTCATGCGTCATGCCAATGATATTATTGGTGCTATCCAAATCCAATCCGCGGGATAGAAATTTGGCCAAAAAAGAAAAAAGAGAGAGAGACGGATTAAATTCGGCATGCTTAATTCCATTCTTACGACTAAATTAGTGACCATCAAAATAACATCAACCGAAATTAGGGATCTTTTTAGCACACAAACAAAAAGAAATTAGTTCAGAGTGTGAAAACTATTAGAGAACCATTAATTTTAAATCTTAAGTCGCATATGGTCAATAATTTACATCAAAGTGACTTCGCCGAGGCAGCGCCCTTCCCTCTAATTAATATGTTTAAAATCATAGCTCTTATACTATATTAGACAATTACTAGTTTATAAAACTTATGTGATCACAGCATGAGCCAATATTGTACATCAAATTAAAATGTGCGCTACTGTTAGTTTGCAGGAACTGGAGGTGAACTTGTATTGATAAGTTTTGAACACTTGTAGTTTTATAACTTTGATACTTAAGTTTTGAAATTCTGTTAACTTAGTGGTTATATCGCCTTTTTTTTTTTTTTTTTTTTTCTCAAAACTTAGGTGCAGTGCAACCTTAAGATGGATAAAGTATGGGTGCTTCTTGGGTAGATCAGATCAGCAAATGCATATGTAAACTTTAGAGGTGAAAATGGAATTGGAGGATTTGGTGAAAAGGTTACTTTGTTGTTGTTGAGGCCCAAAAAATCTAAGGCTGAACTCAAATATATTTCAGGCCCAGAACGACACCTTACTGAGAAGAAACTGGATTTGGGTACGCGAGAGTTCATCGTACGTGCTCGCACGAATCATGATCCACGTGCACATCAAACAAATATATAACCCGTCACACCAAAAGTCGTAATAAGCCCGTAAAATGTACCAACTTTATGAACCCATGCTTATTATCCCGTCAAGCGTCATTTGGCTCGACCATAGCCCTTTACAATGTGATAAAACTCGAGCACGAGCACGCCAAACAACATGCAATACCAAGCGGAAAACCTTTATTTTGCACATAGCCACGCTACAAGCTTAAGTGGCCCTAAGCTACGCAAATGTCTGGGGCTTGCTGAGCTAGTTGTGGTATGAATGGTTACGAGCATTCACGAGGCCCATTGATGAGCCAAGAAGTGGAAGTTTTGGGTTGCTTGGGAGCCCCAAAACTCGAGCCCATTTCTTGAGCCCAAATATGTGGATAAGCATGAAAGAGAGAAAATCAGCCCATCACCTTAGTTAATTGGCCCATCACTTTAGTAAATTAGCCCATCACCTTTGGAAGTGGCCCAACAACTTAGAAAAATATCTCATGAAGCCTCCAGCACATGGCCAAAGCTAAATCCAAGACAGACCATCTGTAAAACCGAAGGATACTTGCGTGTGCAGGTTGCTGGGAGTAGAACACTTTTTAGACCAACACATTTACCCACTTTTCCCCCCACTAGCTCTTGCCATAAAATAAGGGAGGAAAGAAGGAGAGAGTGTTGCTAGAGATAGGAGATTGCTACAGGGACAGCTGCGGGGAAGACTCTAGAGCACCAAAAAAACTTGTCTCTGTGTGTTTGGATTAGGAGGATTTCACCAAATAGGGATGAATCAAAGGAAGAGAAGAGGAATGGAAGGGAAGACTTGGCATATTTGGGAAGAACCAGCTAGGGTTTCTTGGGAAGAAAGAGCTTTTAGCACTTATAAAAGGGGGCACCTCCTACCCAGCAAATCACCACATCCAGAGATAGCAAGCATCCCCTCTCACTACTGGAACTCTTCAATTTCGAGCTCTGTTCTCCCATTCCTTCCACTTTTCTCTTTTGGCAAACCACCCAAGAGCCTGACGAAGCTTTCGTCAAGCTGCCAGAAATTTGCTCAAACCACCCATTCTTCCACCCTTATCTTTTCCTCTCTTCCCTCAACAAATCCTTTCAAAATTCACTCTCCCCTGTTTTTCATAGGAAATCTAAGCCTTCTTTCTCTAATGCTAAACTTTCTCATGCTCAGCTCTCATGCCATAAGCTTCTCAAGCTAAGCCAAAATATTTATCCATAAGCAACTGTTGGTTTTGTTGGTGAAGGAAACCAAATTGCTTTTTAATTAAGGCTCCACGAACCTTTCGAAGCACCCTTGGGGCCTGATTATTGAACTCAAACACAAGGGCAACTCTACCCTTCTTGCTCTTTATAGCAGCCTAGGCCCATTTGTAGCTGCCATAAAAAAAACGCCCCCACAATTGTCTATTATCGAAACATAAAATTAAACAATCTAATTTTTTCTTGGTCGTCAGCATGGTCTCTGATGACTGTCGTGCTCGGGACGACATGGGGATCATTTTAGAACCCAAAGGTCCGCCACAAAGTGGCCCACACGCCGCCACACTCTCTGGCAGTGCGTGGGTGCCCGAAGTAATTACGGTGATTGAAAAACCTCCAAACCGCCGATCAAAACCTATACCTACATGATCAGAACAATGAATGGAGCAACTTTTGTTCTTGGACCATGACCAAAAAGTAGTAATTCCGGCAATCGGAAAACCTCCAAACCGTCGGTCAAGACCTATACCTACATGATCAGAATAATGAATGGAGCAACTTTTGTTCTTGGACCATGGCCAAAAAGTGGCCGGAGATAGCCGGAATTACGAGCCGAAACCGGCCAAAACTTTAAGCGATAATTTCAGTTTCAAAATGCAGAAATTGATCATAAACAATCCAACCAGCAGCTAGAACACATTGAGAGGATGAAAAATCATACCTAGATCGAAGAAATTGATGGCCGGAATCGCCGGAACAAGCTCCGGGAAGTTTGGGTCAAAACTGGCCGGATTTTGGCTTTTTCCGGCAACCACAGGAGGCGGTTCCATCAGAGGTGGGGTGGGGTAGCAAGAGGAGGTTTCTTTTGGGACTGGTATCACCCAATTTGGTGGCCAAATGAAGCGGCGGCCACCAAAAATCCGATCGGTGGCTGTTTTTGGGGGGGAGGGAGAGAGAGAAGAAAAAAATCTAGGTTTGTAAAAAATATGACTTCGCAATATTTATGGTTGTGTCACTGCACTTCCGTTGATCGTCACTTCTTCGTTATAACCCTGATTTGAGCCCACTACGTGTCTACGGACTCATATCGACGCGATCTATATCATGGTTCCATTCAATTCCCCAGAATCTTTCCCGAACAAAAAGTCAACTTTAAGCCCATTAAAATATTCTTAGGGTAAAATTGTCTTTTACTTGAATAATTGAATAATTAAATATTAATTTAGGATTGGATTATTACAAAAAGCCCCTAAGACTATTGTAGTTTTCCTAGTGCTTGCACGTAAAGCTACAAACAAATACATATGGAACATGTGCACCCAATCTTAGGGATTATCATTTGGCCCTAAGTTCGTGGGCCGAATTGGGTAGTCTGAGGCTCGATGGGCCAAAGTCTGGCCCGACTCGCTCTTGACTAAATTAGTGACCATCTAAATAACATCAACCAAAATTAGGGATCTTTTTATTTAGCACACAAACAAAAACAAAATCAGTTAAGAGTGTGAAAACTACTAGAGAACCATTAATCCTAAATTTTAAGTCGCAGATGGCCAATAATTTACATCAAAGTGACTTGGGCAGCGCCCTTCCCTCTAATTAATATGTTTAACACCATAGCTCTTATACTATGTTAGATAATTACTAGTTCATAGAACTTATGCTATCACAGCATGAGCCAGCATTGCACATCAAGTTAAAACACTTCCTCACATATAACCTTATCTTGCACGCACTGGTGGACCCAAATTTTTCATGGGAGGGGCAACATTCAAAAGGCTAAAAGTATGTGAGGGAAATCCAAGTGCAAGGAGTCCATGAACCCATCTACATTAGTCGACCAGAAAGAGAGAAACTTTGAATAAATAAACGTGAAATCAGCATAAAACAAAATTAAATTATAAGTTGAGAAACTAAGAAAGGACAGATGCCAAATAAAGGGGATTAAAGCTCATGGATATTTATTAAATAGAGATACACCATTAAAAGGAATTTTGGAAGACAACAAGTTTATGTGAAGCAGAAATCAAATTGAATATTACAAAGTCTCTTATAGACATTTAATCGAACACATGGTGGGCACCAGCAGAGGGGCAAATTTCGGCCATCCCAAAGGATTTTCCGGCGAGGGGAGGTGCAGCTGCACCTCCTTACTCATGTGTAGGTCCGCCAGTGCTTGCACGTAAAGAGACAAACAAAATGCGTATGGAACAGGTACACCCCATCCTAGGGATTATCATTTGGCCCTAAGTTCGTAGGTCAAATTGGGTAGTATTAGGCTCAATGGGCCAAATTTTGGCCCGACTTGCTCTTGATTGGATATAGTTTGGGCTTAGGATTTGAAACCCTCGGCTCGCCTAGACCCGTTTGGCCCGGTCGGGCTCGTCTAGACCCATTTGGCCTGATCGGATTCGCTAGGCCGATTTTGACCCGACTCATCTAGGCCCTTTTTATTATTATTTATTTATAAAGATTTAATTGATGCACTCGTTAATCTCATTTTAGACTTAATCAAAATAATATAATATGTAGAATAACTTAATCAACTTTTTATTTTGTTTGCACACGTAATGAATTAAGTTAATTTTTTCAATGTTGTATAGAAATTTGTAACAAAAATTTATAAAAGACATTGAAGTTCAACCCACATCCAAGTGCACTCCATAACCTTATTGTATATTTAATTAAAAATAATGTAATATGTAGCATAATTTATAAACCTTTTTTTTTTTGTGTTTTACATATGTTATGAAGTAAATTAATATTCTTTAATGTTGTCTAAACATTTGTAATAAAAAGTTATAAAAGAATTATTGAAAAGAAAAAAAAAGGGTTGGCTTGTCTAGGCCCATAGAGGGGCCGGGGCCCGTTTAGGCTCGGCCCAATAGGCTGGCTCGAGTCTTGACATTTGAAACCTTAGTCCAGCCCGAAAAATTTAAAAAGCTCGTGAAGCCCGACCCAAATTCAAAATTTCAAATCGAGCCAGCCTGATCCAGGCCTATGACGAACCCTAATCACACCCTACAACACCGCCACCTCTGCCATTATCTTATATCCCACCACAATAAACTATCAACCTAAGACAAACTCGGACAACGATTACATACCCTTCTCATACCAGTTGTCTAACATTTATGTTGATCCTTGTCCACCTTGTTGAAGAATATTGTTGTGCAGTTTTTGCACTCATATTTCCTTTCACACCTTTGGCGGTGGACAGTCTTCCCATGATCCAACAGCCCATTCAGGAAGTTGAACTTGCTCCCACAAAGGCAACAACTATGCTTAGAGGACTTCATCTGTGAATATGAAAAACAAAAGAGATGTCTCAGTGTTGTTTTTGGTTGAAATGAAATGGAAAGAGGGTTTTGTAAGAAACAAAATATTTACGTTTCACATCTCTTTCTGACTCTCTCTCTCTCTCTCTCTCTGTTTCAGTTACTCTCATTTTGCCTCTTTTTATAGGCAAGATAATATGAAGTGGATAGAAACAACTAATGTGATAGAGAGAGAGAGACCTGCTAGGCTGCATTGCCCGCTTAGGCTTACTGAATGTTGTCTGAGAGTCATAACTAGTCACTAAGTGGATGTGAAAACTTTCCTCTCACAGCTTCAAATCAAATGAAAAATGGGAAAAATAAAATAAAATTGGCCACATAGTCCACTCAGTGGCATAGTGAGAATATGGTTCGTCATAGCCTGGTTTGAAATTTTTAGGTTTGAGCTGAAGTTTCAAATGTCAAGGCACAAGCCCGCCTATGGGGCCGATCCGAGCCGTCCATGGGCCTAGAAGTGTCAACCTTTTTTTTTTCTTTTTCAATAAATCTTCTATAACTTTTTATTACAAATTTTTAAACAACATTAAAAATATTAACTTAATTCATAACATATGTAAAACAAAAAACCAATTTATTAATTTATGCTACATATTACATTATTTCAATTAAGTCTACATATTAAGGTTATTAAGTTATTCTACACATTATATTATTTTGATTAAGTCTAAAACGAGATTAAGTAGTGCATCAATTAAGTCTAAAAAAGGGCCTATGCGGGCCGGGCCTAAACGGGCCTAGGTGGGACGATCTGAGGGTTTCAAATCTAAGCTCAAGACCTACCCAATTCAGGAGCGGGCCTAATGAACAGATCGAGTTTTGGCCCATGGGCTTAGGGCCGAATGATGATCCCTACCCCATCCTATATTAGAAAATTTAAGAAAATACATTTATTGCTGGAAGAACAAGAGATAGGAAGTTATGTTAAATTGAAGTGATTCTTCATTGACTGATAAACAACTTTAAATAATATGCACAAGGCAACATACTCAGAAAATAAAGGAACAACTGGAATACCCCTACTAATTCCCTTAATATGGTATCCTTTCAATTTCCTCGATGACAATTGTTTGTTTAATGGTTCGTTCAATTTTTCAATATATTGATGGGAGCGTTTCAGAACCAAAACAACTGAGTTGATGAAGCTTGCTATTCGTGTCATCACCCTCACTTGTAGTGCATCGGGGTGTGAGAGTACTTGAACCACATTTGAATTGGTAGATTACTAAATTATTAAGTTTATAGGTGAATATTATAATTTATGACTTAAATGTTTGTTGTTTTTTTCACTATATCTATTTGTGTTCATTATAAATCCATACATAGAAGATGACTAAAACATTTTGAGACAGTTTCGTCTATTTAAGTGGATTTTTGGCTATACACGAAAGGTTTTAAAATAAATTAACATTTATGAATTTAGATGTTAAATTTAGGCAGAAAAAAAAAACACTCCACATTTACTGTGAGGCCTTCTACCGCCATTATCGCGGTAAAAAGTAAATAAATAGTATATTTAGAGTCGCTTCCATAGCGGGTTGCATTTTCAGAGCCGTTTTCAAAACGCTGTGAATCTCTCTCTGTGATTCAGTTTGGCTGGTTAAGCTTCTTCTCGGTGCAGCCAATATGCAGGTAACTAGATATCAACCCTAACTCTCATCTCAATTCGATGTTCTCATCCAGTTAATGCCTAACTAGAAAGAAGGGACAAGAAAATCAACATCCTCAAGCTCTTTCCTTTTGGGGATCCCAAAATCATAAACCCTAATTTTTCTTCATCCACTTCAAATTAATGAGCATAGCTAACTTTTTTTCTTTGATTGGGTTCAGGCCAGTGATAGGTTCAATATCAATTCCCAGCTTGAGCACCTTCAAGCCAAATACGTCGGAACCGGGCATGCCGACTTGAACAGATAGTGAGTAGAATCTTCTCTCTTGCTTTGTGTTTATAGTATATTCTTATATGTTTACTTTGGAATTCTTAGATTCTTTTGCCTTTGAAATATGCAGTGAGTGGGCCGTGAATATTCAGCGTGATAGCTACGCATCCTACGTTGGCCACTATCCCATTCTTGCATACTTTGCTCTTGCCGAGAATGAATCAATTGGAAGAGAACGCTACAACTTTATGCAGGTTCTCTCTACTGTCTTGCTTTTACGCTTTTGTGACTAGTAATTGATTGTATCAGGCTTAGGTTTAGCTACCGTAATTTGGATATGTTTTCTTGCTTTGTTGCAAGTGCTTTTGGATTTTCTTACTTGTTCGTAGTGTTAATGTCCATGTGTGCTTTTCCTCTGTGTGTCTGTGTGTTCGCGTGAGTGTGATATTGTAATTGTAGTGTACATTCAAATATTTGCTTACCTAGTGCAGTTTTTGATTCAAGGGTTGTCTTTCATGAATTCATACCGGAAGTGATCCTAACATTATAATGATGGATTTAATATTATGTGGTATGTGTGAGATCATGGTCGAACTCTTGAGGGAAGAGAAGAGTAATATTAGCATCTTTGTACTGAACTTTGTGCCACCTGGTTTGGCTAAAGCTTGCATTCTTTCCTTCTTTCTTTGGGGTTACATGGAGGCAAGCCAGGAAACAAAAAACACAACAATCATCCTTGGCTGAGCCTTGCCAGCCTTGTCGTCTAATACAACCAAAGCTGCCTTTTGTGTTTGAGCAGTTTTTAGTTGAAGTAATCCCTGTCTGCTTAGTTTTCTCTTTGATGGTAGTGCAGCTTTTGTAACCAACCAGTAACCAACCATAGGAAGCATAGTCCTTTTGATTTAATATCTAGTGGCTAAGTAGTTTTATGGACAGCTAGTTAAGCCACATGGATTGAGATTTTACCAGTCTTGCTTATAGGTGCTTGACCAAAAAGAGGATGATCTTGAATTTAATAGTACTGAGACAAGAAAGGGTAAAGTTGGATAATGAACTTCTGAGAAGTTCCAGAAAGTTTATTTTAGTAAATCATGAAGAGGAAGTTCACTGGATGCTTTTGTAATTGTACTGTACTGTTCACAAGTAGTTGGGATATGGTTTTCCTTAGCAGTCCTCAGTTTTTCCACTCTAAGTCTAGCTGGCTAGACATCCTAGTCTTGGAATGTGAGATTGTCATCAGTGGCTTCCCACAAGGCCAATGTAATCTAAGGCTGTGAAGTTTCCAAAATCCTGGGAGAAATGAGTCATCTTGTTGCATATTGTTAAACTAGACGCAATTCAACAAACCTTGATCCAAACTACTTGGCCGACTATGTCAATGCCTCCATTGAATCCTGTTGACCAGCGTGTGTGGGACAGGGCCCATATGCTACACGTTCTCATAAAATTTGTGTCAACCATCTAGAAAATTAAATTATGTCAAAAATTGGTTTCAGATATGCCTTCTAAAGCTCATGGGATGCATTCATGAGTTTATGAAGGGGACATTTTGGGTATAATGTTGAATTGTAAGTTTATGTCACTAGACTTCAAAATCTAGGGGTTGATTATTTTGTCTCAGATCTATTTGTTTTATTTGTGCGCACGCGTCTGTGCAGATCCATTCATTTGTACTTTTGTTTAACGTTGTTAACATCAGTTGGTCCAGTTTACCCCACTCACGTTGTCTTTCCTGTTGCGCAAACCGTCAGTTTACCCCACTCACATTGTCTTGCCTGTTGCGCAAACCGTTCACTTTTTTTTTCCCCACTATTTGTATGTTTATGGTCTGATGTGTATCTGTAATACACATGGTGATCTTATTATGCGGGCTGTAGAGAGATTGTATATTGTGTTAGTCATAATTTTCGAGCCCTGATACTTGTCTTATTGATGAATTGATTTTATTTTCTCTATTGTGCAGAAAATGCTTTTGCCTTGTGGTCCTCCCCCAGAGAGAGAAGATGATTGACCACACTGTCGTAAGGACTCCGTTTATGATTACCATACACTCTGGTTATATGTACTGGATTTGCCCACATTTGTACGTTTAGCTTTCAAGTTTGGGTCTGTGCGGAAGTGATGCTTCATTGTAAAACTAATTTCTAGGAAATGCTATATTTTGCTGTGGAATGTATTCAATATATATATTATCTTGGCTTTCTTTTCCATTTATAGTCTGAGCACTTCTTACATGCTTAGAGCTTCTCGAGGGAACTGATAAGTATTTTAAGGTCAAATATTTTCCAACTTGCCATAAGCCAATCTCTCACAACTTGCGTGTTTCTCATGTTGAGCTAATGACACCATGATCATTAGGTGTAACTGGTTATAGAAGAAATGTTAGATGTAACCAGTTATAAGAACGGTGATAGGGAAAGATTTCTCCCCAATCATAGCACCACGATTAAAAAAAGAGAAAAAGAAGAAATTAGACCAGATCTGCCCAACCTAACCATCCTTGTATATTATGAGAACACAACTCTAGTAGGACTTTTATCACTAAACGCCCCATTTACTGTCAGGAATTGTTCCTTAAGTCAAGGCACGCATCAATTTTGTCCATACCGTTAGATTCCGTGAAAAAATATGTTGGCTTGCTGGTGAGGTACACATGTGTGGCCCAAAAATCCAATGAAAAAAGAAACCTTTTATGAGAAAAAAAAAAAAAAGGGGATAAAAAATGATATAACAGCATAAACAATTACAATTAGCTTTGAACGGTGCACCCGAAGCTGCTATGATGAGAAGAGAGCCCAAGTAACAACACCGAAAAAACAAGAGGGTTCTAGGCATTGGGTTGATCTGGGAGGTGTTTCAAGTCCATTTCAACCTGGTGGATCGTCCATTGCATATTTTCCAATTCCTGCAATGGAAATGTTGACATTAGAGTATAGCACAGGAACGAACCAAGTACTGGACAACTGTAAGCATTGCTATTACCTTTACGATATCATGGTACTGCCTTGCAATTTTATCAAAGTGAGGATCAACATCCTGGTACTCGCGAAGGCGGGTAAACTGGTAGAAGAAGATGAAACACAGTTCATAAAAAGGCAGCAGGAGAGAGATGCAGTCAAAACTAACAAAACAATGGTAAGGTTAAATGGCTAATTAAGTTGGATACGCATCGTCAGAGAACGTTTGCTCAGCATATCTTAACTCATAGCTTGGTTGGTAACTACATTCCCTTAGAAAACCCAATATCTACCAGAATTAAGGTTGGAGCAACTCACAGCTTGATAGTTGGTAGATTAGGATTTAAAACAATGACTTACTGGAGGCCAAGGAAAATAGACAGAAACAACTATTGAAAACTTAACTAGCCAAGAATGCCCCAAAAGAATGCATTACTACTTAAGTAGCCTACAGCACTTGCAAGCCTCATTTTAAGTGGCTCTATATAGGGGCACATTAAAATGACAACTCATGATCAGGAACCATATAGGAAAGAAACATATGAGAATTAGAATAACATACCGCTTTATCATATGTAACATCAGCTTCTTTTGTAGCATCAAGAAGATACTTCCTAGAAATGAGCCAAAATTATTAAAACAATCTTGAACTAGTATGTTGCAAATACTTTCAAAAGAGTAATCAATAAGTACCGTATTTTATATAGGGCCGGTACCGAATCCTTTGTATAAGTTTGACCGAGGACAGAATACTTCAGTTTCCTGAAATTAAACGGGGCATATTATACTCATTACAGAATCAATTAATTAGATCATACTAGAATAAATGAAAACCATGAATACGCTCAGTAACTGAACCTTTTCTGTTTGCATAAGAAACCAGGCAACGAACCTCAATTTTGCACTCATTGTCTCACACCTTTTGCACAGCCATATCTTTTGCTGTTCATCCTATAAATATTATTTACAACAAGTTTCGACAGTAAGAAAAACAGAATCCTATAATTAAACAAAATGTTAGGCATATCCCCAAATGTTATTACGGAAAATACAACCATCACAAATATTAGAAGCTTACATATTTATGTTGATGTTGCTGCTTCAAATCTTTGACCAGCTTCATAAGAACCCCCACTATCTGCTCTAAGACCTAGTTTGTCAAAAAAGACTTTATGTCACATACCCTCACAAGAAAAATGATGCCACTAAGAATTTCAGGAAAATAAAACATAGATTGTATATTTTCATACATTAAAATACTCAGAAAATTTTCTATCTGCAGAATATAGATCTTCCTGAAGAGCTGCTTCCTCCCTTTCCGTTTCCTCGATTATCAACTTTATCCTGATAAAATCGTGAGAAAAGTCAAACATATTATAGAACACACCATCACAGATGCATTTAGAACACAGTTTCTAGAAATTTAAAATTCACCAAAAGCATTGGTTTATGGCTGCATTGCACTTGAGAGAAGTACAGAAAATAGTTGAAAACCGTAGTCACTTATATATATATATATATATGAGGCAGCCAATGATCTGGAGAATGACATATAATCATTTTCGTAGAAAGAGGAAATGAAATTCGTTAAGCCATTGAGTTGTTAAACATGTTAAAGTACTTTTTCTATTACAACTACTCATGTCAGCTGCTAGCTCAAGTAACAGACTATATTACATGTCAAATAAAATTTACAAACATCCGTGAAAAGAATCTCGCTCCGTGTAAAAGGGAAACGTTGCATTAAGAGAGTAACCAAAACCTTTCTGGAAGCGGAGCACTTGAAATTTGATGCCCGGGTGATGAATCTGCAGCAAGAAAACAATGGTATTAATTTACGCCTATTACCACTATACATAAACATATTGCCTACTGGTTATATCATTGGTATTAATTATTCCCAGGAAAGTATAAAGAATATAGATACTGTGTATTAAATTTCTAGGATACTAGTAAACTTGATCCTCATGACCCTCTCCAGGAAAGAGAAAATCATAAGACCAAAGATTGCATTGGAGCAGTGAATCTGGGGTATCCTTTCCCAGAATGAACAAGACGAAAAATAGAAATGATGCGGATCAACAGTTTGGCACGCAGATGACAGTTGAATTTTCATACAGAAATTGATTAAGTGGAGGCCCTGAGAAGTAGATCAACAAGTCAATATGTTCATCACAAGATTGCAATGGCTATGGAATCTGGATTGCGTTCATATATGGGTGGGAAGAGAGAGAGTAAAGAACGAGAGAGAGAGAGAGAGAGAGAGAGAGAGAGACCAATGTCATCCATTACAAAGGCATCAGCTAACATATCACATTTAGCTTTCAAACGAGCCTCAATCTCTTGGGAAAGACACAACTGGTATTCTGTCATATCCTGCAGTTTAAGCATTACAGATGTATCTCAAAAAAAAGGGACAGCTTCACCAAGGTTATATCTTCATATTAAAGGACCATATACAGAAAAATAACAGATTCTCTAAGAAAAGATGTTCAGAGCAGAAAAAAAAAACGTAAATTATAAATAAATACATAAAAGAAAAGGACAACTGTTTGAATGCCAGAACCATATGAACATTGTACCATGGAGAAGGGGGTTTGCTGGAGCTGTGTTTGCCATAGATAACCAGGTGTAATCCCAAGAAAGCGATTGGGTACACCACCAATTGCAGGTTCCACAACATCAGCTGCACTAAGAGACATATTGTTGTTTGCTGCACTAGTGCTATTTGCTGTAGGACAATTTGTCGAGTTAGAACTTGAGCTGACTGTAAAACTGGTGCAAGTGCTATCAAGGGAACTCCGTGACATTATACTGCATTTTTCAATTTCGTCCTCATGAATTTCACCATCCTTGGAGATATGAGGAAGCCTCAACCTTTGAGCTGCTTCCGCAATAGTCATACGATGCTCTAATGTTTCATACAGCTGATATATACATGAAAAATTAGGTTCTCATCAGTTTTAGACTACTTACATGGCTCATCTGCATAACAGGATACTAAGGGAAAATTACATTTGAGCATCCAGTGAAGATTGAATTAGCATGTCGTCCTAAATTCTAATACACAAGTCTGTCATTGTATATATAAAGTTAAGGTAATGATTAGATTAAAACTAATAACGAACATTCTTCCATGGAAAGCAAATTTTTGCAGTGGTACCATCTCATAGTAACTTAAATTTTGTTTATCAGTCACAATTCAGATGGAGTTTGTTTTTCTTTTCACTTCATTTCTTCTTCAAAATGGAACAAATAGAAGGAAATAATTCAATTCCCCTGCAAGGAAGGCAAATACACCCTTTGATTCTAAACACTACACAGTGCAGTTTGGAGTGTCTCTCATACTTAATGCAAAATCATGACCAAACAACAGATGATGTGAAGCCAATTTGAAAAGCAATAAATTCAAAAAGAAAAAAATGGGTAGACTCTAGAGGTTAGAACTGTTCCAAACTTGCAATAATAAAGAAAGAAAATTCAAAGTGTGACAAAAAGTGAAACCTGAGGAGAGTTGATCAAGCCTTGTTCATACTCCTCCACCATTGCAATTGCCTCACTGTAAATTGCCTACATCAGAATTCACACACAAATTTAAAATCCTTGTCAAATAGGAACTCCATGAATGTAGGAGAATGAATTACCATGGCTTCCAAGTAACGCAGTCTTTCGTTAGACATTTCCTCCCTGGCCTGCAAATTTTTCAATAATTCTAAGAAATCAAAGGAATTGTAGCCAGCCACATTTTATAGGAAACCAAACAAATCAGGGAAATGTGGAGAGAGAGAGAGAGAGAGAGAGAGATACAAGTTGGAGGTCGAAGTAAGCGGATTTGGAGACGAGGGAAGCATCGGGAGCCAGGCAGTGGCGCTCCAGCTGATCGATGAGATGGGTCACATCGGGTGGCAGGTTTTGTTGTCCTGGCAGTTGCAGCCCCTTCACCATTTCTCTCAATCACCAACCCAGAACGTTGTCTTCTTCGTTCGTTTGTTCCTTCTATATCTTCTTCTTCTTCCTTCCTAAGCCTAAGCATTAGGCATGCGCACTCGCAGGAGGAATTCAAATCAGTTACCAGCTTGATTTACTAAAATACCCTCATCTTCGCGGATAGAAAGAAACAGTCTCATCCAGGCCTAGGCACATAATAGAGATCGGTATTGGATTGCTATTGGCCCCAAACCAGTTCCTTACCAAATTCAGATTTTGAAGGCCCAAATCAGTATGCTCA